AGACTATACCCAAGCCCCTGCCCTTTCTGAGCCTCAGTTTTCTCATTTGTAAGAAGGGGTAGGTAAAACCAGACACACTGCAGGAGCTTAAGAAGTGAGAGTTGCTGTGGTTTTGACACTGGTACCCAAGAAGCTCAAGGGAGTCCTGGGACCTGAGGGAAGGGGAGGGAGCCCCAACCTTCTGCACATGGTTGATCTCATCATGCTTGCGCTTTTGGTTTCGAGTGATCTTGCGTTCCGGCTGTTCGGCCAGCTCACTCAGGTACTTCTCTGAATTCTTCTGCACAGCATCTTTCACTGTCTTGGTCAGCGCCAGCCGGTTCTTGTCTACCCATTCATCCAGTCGCCGGTTAACTGTGGGGATGGGCCGTGAGGGGGCTGGCCTGTCAAACCTTCTCCTCCCACCCAGGCCTTGGATGCCCCAAGCCACTCACAGCCCACATAGTGTACATAGAATTCTTCACGACCCTCCTGGTCATTTACTCGAGATTGGATCACTTCAGCAGAATCTGCAAAGAAAAAAGGAAACTATCAGGAAGGAAAGGTGGGGCTGGGACAAGAGGAATCCCATACACTAAGGAGCAGTTTCCAAATTCCAGGTCCACACGTAACCTACCTCACTTGTTCACATCTGCCATTCCATTCAATCACTGCCACAACCCTGTGAGGTGGGCCAAGTTGGGGCTATTAATACAGAGCAGAGTTTAAGTCTGACTCTAAAGTCAATGCTCATTCCATTGTAAATACTCAAATCATTTATCTGTTCAGAGGATTAAGAAGACTGGCTTTGGATTCAGACAGCCTAAACATACATTTTAGCTCCTACACCTCCTACCTCAGTTTATCTGTAAAACAGAGATGAAGTGCCCCTTTCAGAAGCTGACCTAAGGCCTCCAAGGTTTTTGGCACATCTAGTAAACCAACTACTGTACATCTGGTCCTGTGCATTGTTACTGGACCCACAGAACACTGCAAGTCAGTCATAGCAGGTTCTAGCTCTATGTTCCTAGAAGTGCCCAGTTTGACAGGGAAAGACTTAGGCAGTAACATAATCATGTTACATATGCCACAGCTGAGATATGAAAAAAATGTAGTGGAAACACATGATTTATTTTGCCAGAAGGGAGTCAGGAATGCCATCACGGAGTATGAGGATGTGACATCAAAGATGAGTAGGAGCTAGTCAGGTGAACAAGGAGAAAGGAGGGGAGGGGAAGGTAACCGGCATGGGTGGGGAAGAGCCTAAGATCTTTAGATGACAGGGCTTTTGTTTTGGAGTGGTTAGAAGCTAGGCAACAGGTCAACATGGATAAAAGTTATTCTAAGACGTTTGAGAGTTTATTCTGAAGATAAGGCAAACTCTTTTGGGGATATTATGTAAGGCCCTCTCTGCTACGTGGTGGTAGAGTATGGATGGAAGAGGTGGACGCAGGGATCAACCCGTGAGGAAGTAGGATTAACAAGAAATGGAACGGAGTTCTATATGAAATACAGAGAACTTAGTGATCGCCTAAGTGGTGCGGCTGACAGGCGGCGCCCCGGAAGGAGTCCAGACTACTGCGCTGTCCACTGTCCGTGAACCCCACCGCCCACCACTCCCCAGCCCGCCCTCGGGCCCCGCCCCTCTCCCTTAAACCCCGGCCCGGGCCCCGCCCTCACGCCAGGTGCTATCCGGCCGCCGACACAGGTACGTCTCTCCGATCTCCACGGTGACTTCCGGCTCGCCGCGCGCGGGTGTTGGAGGAGAAACGCGGCCCGGAGACGGGGCAGTCCCTTCGACCGCCACATTCTCCCCCGGCCCGGGCTCGCCCTCTCCCGCGACCGAAGAAGTCGCCGCCACAACCGCCGCGGCTGCTCCCTGTGCTGCCATCGCTGTGCGGGAAGTGACGCCAGAAGACGGCGCCGCGTAGCGCTTTAGCTCCGGGTCAGCGAGGCGGGGCGGCTCGCTCTCCGGGACGCTCTATGACGTCGCGGGGGCTCATTGGTCCGTGAGGCCGTCTCCGCGGTGCTGGGTGAGCTGGACATTCACAGTGCTAGTTTCCCGGCTTCCTTATAGAAATAGGGCTGCACCCTGGAGTTGAAGAAAGGAGAAAGATTCTTTTATCTAATGACACAGCTTAATCTTTTTAAAGGCCTTGGTGCCTGGGGAAGCCAAGATGTGCCCAGAACCAGAGATGTGCCACTCACCAGTGGCTGTGACTGGAGAATGTCAGTGTAGATTTCCTTCTGGGTTTTAGGTCTCGCTTAGACTGGAATTAACTCCTCTCTCCCAACACTGCCTACGTCTCCCAGCCTAGCGCTGCTGATCCTTTTTTTTTTTTTTTTTGAAGACTAAGTTAGATTCTTTCTTGTTCAGCTGAGACGACGATAAAATTGAGAAACAGGGCTGGTATGTCCAGGAAGGGTCAGCAAGTCACTAGACTAAAGCTTTTCTAAAAGGCTCAGCGTGTCTCCCCGCCCCACCCCCCCAAAAATCCGGTTATCTCCAGAATCAGTGCTAGCAGTCGTTACAGGGAAGTCAGGAATTCTGAAATCTGACCTCACTCTCGGGATTAACTCCTTGCCCTTAGATCAGAACCCGCCCATCGCAAATCTTCCAGTGGGTTTCTGAGGCTGTAAATCTCCCTGGACAAGACAGCCCATCTTTCTCCCTCAGGGGGCTGGGATTTGAGAACCGTCAGGTGTGACTTTTGGTTTAGCAGCACAACTCTGAGGACTACTCCCCCAAACTCCCTTAATCCTGGAGTGGTGTTAAATGCCATCCACTAAGTCTCAAAACAACAGAAAAAAGCAGAGATCTGGACCTTGTCATGGCCGCTCGTTCTCTCAGCTTGGGTAATGTAACCAGATTTGTGTATATCCACACTGTACATAAAAACGTTGGCTGAATCATGGCAACTTCATGGGTCAGAACTCTATTATAGAGTTTTCAGTGACTTAGTTTTCTAGGAGCAGACCTTTCTTCCGCAGCCCCATGCTTTTCGGCTACCATCCAAGCATGTTAACAAAATGTTACCTTTGCTCTGTAACTTTTAACAACCTTGACAGCTCTCAATGGCATAGAGACATGTGAGTCCCAATTGACTCAATGGCAAGGAGTTTGGGTTTCAGCAGTTCTCTTTCTTTCCTATATAATTTGGTTACTAGGCTTAAAAAGAATCCGGAAAGAGGTAGAATGCTCAAGGACCAATGACGGGGCTCAGCTTACTGATGAGGAAATACCAGCTGGTTACGGAGGTGGATCTGGGAAGTGCTGGTAATGTGGCTTTGGGGAAATGGAAGAGTCTGTCAGTTAAGAAATAACAAAAAAACATGCATAAAAAAATAAGTAAAATTACGGCGGCTCTTCCCCAGCCAGTCTTAAAGGTTAAGGTTTCGCCCACTTTTTCTACTTTGGGTGCCTCAGTTTTGACTTATCTGGCCACAGTCAGTTACTGGTGCTGTCTTTTCTAGGTAAGGATTAGACTAGCTTTGGCAAATCCCTAATCAGGGTTATAGCCTCAGCCTCCTTAGTCTTAGGCCCTCCCACCTACCACTGATTCTAATAATATGTCAATATGACTCTTCCTTCTGGCCTGTGGAGGTATCTGTCCAGATCCCTCGAGATCTTTCCTTATGTGCTTCAGTTCCCTTTTATGTATTTCCAAAGACTAGCCAGCACCTGAGGCTGTTCTTTGGAAAACTATCTGTTTTACCAAAAGAATTAGAAATTCTGAAAAGGTCTCAACCTGAGAATTTAGGTCTACTGCTCCCGCTTCTCCTAGCCATTTAAGGAATGGCTGTCAAGTGGAGTAATTCATCACTGCTGGCGAGCCTAGCTCTCTTACTTTCCACTCTACCAAATAACTTACTGGCTCTTCTCCCCTCTCCCTGCCCACCCCTTGTCCAACTGGCACAGGAAGAGATTGCCCCTCCTCCAGTGGAGCATCTGGTGAATTCAAACCATGCACCTTTGAGATTGCAATGCAGCTTCTTGCCGCTAGGCCACCAGAGCTCCTGGCTCTACTGTTGCTTGAGATTTCATCCTCTCCCCACTTCCTGTCTTCCTGGGAGCCCACTCTTAGTAGATCACCATGCTACCAATCTTCTCAGGGTCTGCTGCTAGAGGTTCCAGCCAGAGCAAACCCCTCTGAGTTTAAAAGCTGCTCGTGGCTTCATGGCTTCCCAGGCAAGGCAAGGCCCTGCCCCTCTGATGGTTGCCCATTTCTCCATCCTCACCCCTGCTCCGTAAGCAGGTTTTACAGGCCAGCAAATCATGTGGTTACCCACCACCTGCCATCTGACCTTCAGATAAAATTTCTTGCCTCTTCTTAGTCCCCTACTACCCATCATCCCAAAGAGTGGGAAATGGACTAGGTCTCAAGCCACCTTACAAAGTCAGCAGTTGGAGCTCAAAGATGTGAAGGCAAAAAGAGGCAGAGGGAAGCCTTCCCAGTGCCACCAGACAAGCCCGAGGGCCTGTCTGCTCCTTCCCGGGCAAGATGCCTCCACCTGAAACCTATCAGGAAATTGCGCCTCAAGTGTAACCTTGAATCTATCTGCTGTCTATCTTGGGCACTTTTCTTTTGCCCAACTCCCTGGCCCCTTCCCAGGGCCCCACCTTCCTGCATGGGGCACCCAGTCCTTGCTGGGACCTGCCAGGAAATTACTGTATGTGTTCCTTTCCCTGGCGGAGGCAGACACAGCTGGCGGGCAGTATTTTTAACTTTACTCAGGCTCAGGAATCAGATGGCTCAGGAGATTGCCCAGTCTGGTGACCTTCAGCTCCAGAACTTGTGACAACTGGTAGCAAAGAAAGTCAAGAACTGAGGCTTGGAGCTGGGCCAACTAGACTCTCAATACTGTCAAGGACCCATAAAGGTGCTCAATAAAACAAAGGCCTCCACACATCCCACCACAGCCACCTCCACTCCTGGTCTGTCAGGACAGAGCAGCTGGGACACGAACAAGTTAAACCCAAGAACCCAGGAAATCAGAGTGGGGCCAGAAGCCAAGGCTCGCCTGCCTATCCCACACACGGGGCCCAAGGGGGCATTCAAAAGGTGAACTTTTAATAACAAACAGCAGGTCAAAGTGGGGAGTCCCCCAGGAGCAAGAATGCTGGAGCTGGTGCTGGAGGCCTCAGGGGCTCCCCATTTCCCCCTTCAAGGACGGAAGACAGGGAAGCAGTGAACCCCACTGAGGGTGGAGGTGCCCAGCTCCACATAAATCCAACTGCCAAGGGACCTAAGACCCAAGACGCAGCAGCAGGTGGAGCAGGTTGGGCCCCTGCGTGACCTGGAAGGTCCCAGCAGGGTAAGTGGCCCGGGCTGGGCCCGCAAGCAGGCCAAGGCCTCAGGTCAGATGCGGAAGCTCTCCTCCCGGCCATCAATGTGACGGAGCCGCAGGTAGACATCCGTGCCGATGCCCTGCAGGGACTGCAGCCGCAGGGAGCCCCCGAGGTATTCTGCGTAGGCTCGTGATGTGGGCAGCCCGAAGCCAAAGCTGAAGGTGGGCAGGGGACAGGACAGGACAGGAGGCTTCAGAGGTTTGAGCCCCCTGGAATTTCCCACCCCTCCACCCTGGCCAGGCGGGGCCTCACCCATGCATGGGTCCTGACTGGCCTCCACTGAGCATGTCCATGTGGCCAAAAAGGGGGCTGATCCGGGGATCCTGGGTACTGGCCTCGGCCGTCGTGAAGTGGTAGTCCATGACCCGGTCCAGGTCCTTGTGAGCAATTCCCCCGCCCCGATCTGAAATCCTGGCAGGATGCCAGTAACACAGGCCTGGCTCAGTTCTGCCATGGCTTCATCGCAGTACATAGTGAGGTCGGCCTGCCTACCTGCTCCACCCTGTTTCCCAAGTCTAGAACCTCAGCTGACAGGGCAAGCTAGATTCACTAATATCCAGTTCCTGGAAATCTCAGGACCAGAGTATTTTGTCAAAGCCTAACCAAGTTCCAGAGTACGGCAGGTATGGATTAAGGTCGTATCGTATCATTTCAGAAACTGCCTGTGACCTCTTGTCTACCCAGCCGAGCTCCCACACAGAACAAACCTGATGACAAGATCAATGTCATTGTTGGCGATGGTGATGACGACATCTGGGACATTGTAAGGAGTGTCTAGGTGACTCTCCATTGTAGCTCTGTATGGGGGAGCATAGACCCATTAGATGGTGGCACCCTCCTCCCTCCTGCCTCCCCCTTCTCCCACATCTGAGCAGCCTACCTCATGGCATTCTTGAGCAGCTCGGGTAGGATGTAGTCCAGCGGCATAGGGATGAAGGGGAAACGAGCCGCCACGTGCCCGTTGATGCGGACGCGGGGGGCGTTGCCATACTTGTGCTCACACAGGCGTCTATGGACAAGAGCAAGCATTCAGGTACCCCTTGATCAGAGGTTCTCCAATAAACTAAAGAGTACATGTCCCCAGAAGAGACAATTTTGATGGTTCCCAACTGGAAGCAGATGTTCCCGACATCAAATGGATAAATGCCAGCGATGCTGATAATTAATCACGGTAACATGCACAGGACAACTCTCCAACACAAAGTAGGTGCCGGCCCACAATATCATTAAATGTCAAGGCTGAAACCGCTGCACCAGCCAAGGGCTCAGTCCCAAGCTCCTTCTATACCCAAGTCAATCCCCTTGACTATTCTGATCTTACCTGGCAAAATCCACCCATTTTTCAATGATCTTCTTTGGTGAGAGGCGAGTGCAGATGATTCCCACAAAATCAGGCTGGCAAGAGAGAAAGGTTTAAGATCAGGAGACAGACATCTCCACGTGCCTTAGTCTTTCCTTCAGACCTTGATCCAAGTCCCTAGCTCAAGAAAGCCCTAGAGCCCCGTCCTCTCCCCACTCCTGACACTCCAGCTGGGCTCCTGGTTCCAGTTTCCCACCTTGTCCTCGTGCAGTGCCAGGTGATGTGTAGCCAACATGCGGATCCCCAGGCGTGAAGTCAGTGTCTTGTCCAAGAAATAGCGGACAAGCTTTTCATCCTGGTAAAGAGTTGAGCCTCAGAGACTCAGTGTTCCTCTCCCAACCCCTCTCCCCTCAGGCCTAGGCTGCCACTGGCTGCCCCTGACCTCTATGTGCTTTCGGCTCTCACGCAGGCCCTCCGCTAAGAGGGTCACCACATCCTTATGATCATCCAGCAACTGTCGCACCAGCTGGCAGTACTGGGCCTCTTCTGTCTGGTCCTTGATCTGCAGGCCGTAGACAGAGTTGTGAGCACGCGCACTCAGCTCTGACAGCTCAGCCCCTCACCCTAACCTGGCCTGGCTCTCACCGGAGGGAAGTCTGTCAGCTTCTGGAAGGCACGGATGTATAGCTCGTGCTACAAAGAAGTGAGAAAGGGAGTCACAGGGCTGCCTGTGAATAGTTACCCATGCCTGCTTGTAGGGACCACTACCCACCCAATTCACTTGAATGAAGCCCCTACAGATGTTGGCCTGTCAAATCTCCATGAATAGTGTGACTTTGGTCACTGAAAGTGGAGGCTAAGTCCTGTTTGACCCTGGAATCCTTTTTGCCAGGCAAATCTGTCTCCCCACTTGCCCCAAGGAGACGGGCACACTGATCTGGGATCTTCCCTACAAGAGAAACACACATATCCTTGGAGGCACCTTACCACGTGCAGGATGGTGGGGTTGCAGCCAATGATGAAAGGAAGGCTTCGGAAGCCCTTGATGCGGTGAGCGATTCGCACTGGCAGTTCTTGCTGGAGATAGCGGGCACTTTTCTAAATGTAAAAGGGGAGAAAAGGCAGATCCAGGACTTCAGTGGCGGGGACAGAGCTCCGGGGCCAAGTGAAAAAAATAACAAGGGCAGGAATCCTACCAGAAGGTGGCTGCCATCCTGAGAGCGGCCAGAATAGAGCATCATCGTCGGGGTGAGACGGACTGAAGGCTGCAGGGCAGATGGGCCTTGAGCACTACATTCCAGTATCCTAATATCCGCCCCGCCCCCATCGCCTTTACCCCTTCCCTTAACACCTACTCTAGTTCCAGACCCTGGACCTCAACCCCCATGTGCACACCTTCTCAGCCGCCACGTCGATGGCGGACTGGTTGTAGAAAGAGGTGACGGTCTTCGAGCGCTCACGGGCCATCTCCACATGGTGTGTGTCTGTGGCCGACGTAGAGCGAGATCGGAGTGAAAGTGCAGGTCCCAGTAGGGGCCGGAGTGGTGGCCCGCCCCGGGGACCACTCCCCAGGACCGTTGCCAGTAGCATTGTCCTGGTCCTTGATCAAACTAGGTGGCCCTAAGGCTGAAGACGCCGACAGATGGAGGCAGTGGGGTAAAGAGGGGGGTTGAGCAGGGCTCTTCTCTGACTTCAAGGGCGAGGGCCGGAGGATGCTGACCAGCTCAGCCAGCAGGGTGCAGCTCCCATCTAGCGGATGAGGGAAGAAGGGGTTGTCAGGATCCGAGGCAAGGCGGCGCGCACCAGCTTTCCACGTTTTCCGACTTGGCCAATTTCTGCCTACACTTTCAACCACATCCCCTAACACGTACTGACAAGTCCAGGCAACTCCGCTTTTCCTGGGCTGTTAGTCTTCAATCTGAGACACCATCAGAGGTCCGCGGGGAAGAGCGGATCTTCGGCTCTGGCCAGTGCGAACACCTAGCCCCCTCCAGTGGGCCCTTGGACACCCATCCTCGCTTGGGGGGAGGCGGGGCTGACCCCTCCCCAGCGTCTTTATACCCACGCCCTGGGCTGGCCTACGTTACGTGCGCCAGCCAGCACTGGGCGCCCCGGGCCCAGCTGCACCAAAGCTGCAGCCCAGTGTCCTCCTCCGCTTTCCAGCTTCGCGGGGCCACTTAGTTCGACCCAGGTCGCCCCCCCCCCTCGCCCGCTGCCCCCATATGGTAGATGCCAACGCCTCGACCACCATCTGCGCGCAACTCCCGCGCAAAGACGGAGGAAGCGGCCGCGCGATGTGGCACCTCGGTGGGCAGGGTCGGTCTGCGTAGGCTGCTCCACTTACCGCGGGGCTGGGGTCCGAACGGAACCGCCCGAGCAGTCGACCGGCCGGGCGAGCCCAGCCGCTTGCGCCCTCTGCCGCCGTGACGTCACGGAGCTAGGGGGCGCCCGGTGCCTCCTGGGAGTTGTAGTTTGGCGAGGAGGACGCGCGACCCTCCACCAGCCCAGGCCTGCTCTCCAGTACCCAGAGATTCCTTCCACAAGAAACTTGGAGTTACAAGTGCTCTTTCTGAATCTAATCTAGCAAATGAACTCCCTGGGAACAAGATGAGAAGACAACAGGAAAATGCTTAGATGCAAAGCACACAGATCACGTCCTACCTGCATTTTCCTTCTCTGAGATCCTTTTCCCCTTCCTTCCAGGTTTGTTTTTTGGAAACTAAAATATCCTGTTCAAGCCCAAGCTCGTCCACTTAGTGCCTGGGTGTAAAAATGGCTGGAGATCCGGCATCAAGAATTCTTGCCACATCAAGAGCTGACTGCTGCAGCCAGCCTCTTCCAAATCTCATTGTCTAACTTCACAAGTGGAACTTAAATTTACTGTTGCTGAGACTCATAGCCACCATACGGGGCAGAGTAGGACTGTCCCTTAAGATGTCCAGGGCTGTAACTACCTAGGAGACTACCCATCTAAATTAGAATTGACCTCCACATGAAGATTTATAGCCTCACAAACCAACGGAGGGGTCGCAGTGATTCAGAATCGACTCAGTTTGGCAGTGGATGTAATAATTGCCGACCAGCAGTCACATTTTTCTCCTGAACAGCTGGCTGGTGTAGTAGAACCTCCACTTTACATCAACAACTCTTCATCCACTGCACCACCAGAGCTCGTCACTAGTGGGGAGGAGCCAAATTATAAACATCAAGAGCTCAAGACTGTTAGGAGGCAGAGGTCAGGCATAAGTCCAACCTCCAACTGTTTCAGGAGTGCTAACACCAGTCGTCTCTTCCAGTACTCTACTTCTCCCCTGTGTTCCTTAATTTGTTGCAATGACACACAGAAGTCACAAACCATATTCACAGTTTATTAGGGAGGTAACAAATTATAACTCTGGATACAGTTCTCAGGACAGCCTCTTGTTTACTGTGTAAAGGCAAGGCTCTGGCCCTCCCGTTGCAAAGAGGGTACAGAAGCACAAGTCCACAGGCACAAGTTCAAGGACACCAGACAAGGTCTGCCAGAGACTCACTCACACATACACACTTTTGATGAGGCAGGTGGTTGGAAGAGAAGAATGAGAGAAAACAAAAACTTAGGAGGTTGCTCCTGGGCACTCATATTCCTAGATATACCTCTAAATAGATCCTTAAACTAGAAGCTTCCTCAGTCTCTCTGTCAAGTTCAGGCAAGTGTTAGCTCTACCAGGAGGTGCCTGGGGACACCTCACTCTGCCAGTGGCCTTGGTACAAAGACACTCAGCTCTCTTGTTCTGTGGGTCAGGAATCCCACCTCTTGATCTCCTGTCAGTCTGCTAGTTCCACTGCCTTTACCGCTGCTGTTTCTTAGCATCTGCATCTCAGAAGCCTCTGCTGCTAGAGCTTTCCCTGTTTCTGGAATCTAGGAGTTTCTTAGCACAGGGATCCCTGAGTGAAAGCATGTGCTCCACTTCTAGCTCTTCTTTTTTTTTTTAGGATAGTGAAGTGCCTTCTCACTTTCTGACACTGTGAGGGCTCATTTTAAACCTATCAGGATGCCAAACACTGACCAGTTCTGCTGTACCTGAGGCCACTGCAGCTCAAAAACGAGTCAATGTCACCTAAGAAAAACAGCAGCACCACAAGGGGACCATGTACCTTACTGACATTATTAGCAAGCTATCTGGTCTCCTTAATGGGCCACAGGCATCTTATTTGCATAGTATCACTCATTCTTTTGGAGGAAGTTCTAAGATCATGCCATAAAAGTCATATAAAAGCAATACATGAGTGAAGGGAAAGGCAATCTACAATATGAATTTGATCAGACATTGTACTAAATGAATTAATCAATCCACTAGAGGCTGCTTGGGAGAAAGAAGGATGTTCTCCCATGTGATTTACAGTCTCAGAAGACCTACTGAAAGGTAAGTGATGAGTTGGTTCCAAGTGCGGGAAGCCAAATATCAAATGTTAATATTAATAATAAACCAAATTCTATATCAGGATATGTGGGAGGCTTAATACAAGCTGGAATTCACCCTGTGGCACTAAGGCATTCCCTAAGAGTCAACATTATTCTTAGTTTGTATTTACTGAATCTGTCCCTGAGACAAGCATAAAATAAACAGTAGAGAGGAACTTGGCCTTATCTGCAAAAGACTTCCCCATGATCTCTTGGTTTTGTTTTCTACTCCCCTAAGATTTTCCTGATCACAAAAAAAAAGAAAAATATTTTCCTTCATTTACCTTCCCTATGATTCTCAATAAATACTCAGAGAGGCACGGCTTGTGGCCTTCAGTCATGGGAACTGCTGACCCCCTGTCTTTACCCTCTCTGTTCTGTTTCATTTCTGGTTGTCTGTCTTATTATTAATAAAAATACTTTACCCTTGGTCTGCAACATCCAAGTTCACAGCAATGAGGTATATTTGAATCAATTGTGATTAAACCTATACGACAAAATGTCTGAATGACTGAGTGACAATCCAATATAATTTGTAAACTTTTACTCAAATAAGAAATATCAAGGGTTGGTTTTGTTTTTGTTTTAAAAAGCAGTCCACTGTATGGCACTGGAGCAAGTTCATTCACAGCAAGCTAACTAGATGAACATTTTCTTTCTGTGCTAGTCAATGAAAAGGCAGCCATGCATTGGATTGTATGAATTTAAGCATGTTAACATCTCCAAAGTACTGAAGAGCAACACCATCAGTCTAGAGACTAGGGTGCGTCTGATCCAGGCCATGGTTTTCACAGTTACATGCTATGTATTAGAAAGCTGGACAATGACTAGGAATTATAGGAGAATTGATGCCTTTGAGCTGTGGTGCTGGAGAAGAGTATTGAATATACCATAGACTGTTAGGAGAACAAACAAGTTTGTCTTGTAGAGAGTGAAGCCAGGCTACTCCTTGGAGATGAGGATTCTGAAGCTTCGTCTGAAGTACATTGGGCATGTTGCAAGGAGGAACCAGTCCTTGGAGAGGGACATCATGCTTGGGGTGGAGGGACAGTGCAAGAGAGAAAGAACTTCAATGAGATAGATTGATCCGGTGACTGGGGTGATGAGGGATAGGTGCGTCAGAAAAAATAAGGTTGGCACAGGATAGAGCAGGTTTCAGGGCTGTTGTACATAGGGTCACTATGAGTCACAAGCAACTCAGTGACAGATAATAGTCAATGAAAACGCAGCCATGCCAGGTTTCATGCACTGGATTGCATTCATTAAGCATGCTAAGTACCCAGAGCAATGCCATGTGTGGAATTAACATCATGTAAAGGTTACATATTATTTTACATTCAGTCTGCAACAAACAGTGATAGGGGGTGACTTTTCTGTCTCAAGGGAGGAAATTGGATGGTCACTACAAGAGGAAGACAGGTGGAGACAGGAAGCCTTGCTGTGATCAGGTGTATTGAGGGACACGCAGGAGGCCTGAGCAGTGTCACAGAGTTGGAGTAAAGGCACAGCATGAATAAGATTTAGCAAGGCACAGAGGCTTAGGAGGGAAGCACTGCAGGATAGAAAATAGCCTGAAGTATCTGAAGATGCCTGGAGTTTAGCATCTGAGGAAAGAGCAGAATGAAACGGCCACAGGCTCATCATGAAAGACCTTTATATGCCATGGTAAGGAGTTACTGAAGGGTGGTAACTACTCAGATCTGTTCAGAAGACAGAACCTCCTGGCTGTTAGCTGAGGTCTATGAAGCCAAAGCCACAAAAGATGACTGAGAAAACAATTAATTTGTTCAGGCAGGAAGTAAGAAAAGACAGTGGCATCACTGGGAGGGTGTAGGGCGTGTGGGCCATACCAGGTGACAGTGACAGAGGGAGTGACACCAAAATGACCATCTATAACATTTTTGTGGAGTGTTTCAGCAGACATGTATTCTCTTTATAAAAATATCACTGGCGTTAGTGATAGCCACAAAAATGTATTGCACAGGCCAGTGTACATGCAAAGCTAAAACTATGCTTATTATTTTTTGAACCAACTAATGTGCTCTGGGCAGAGCTGCTGTCGTTATTACACAATTACACTGAAGATCCATCCACACCAGCCACAAGCTATGGTTTCCATTGGCTCAGATGTTTTCTAGTTACTGTT